ACATCCAAATATCCTATATGTCTGTAGTATTCTATACCCCTGAAGCCTGGCAAAGTTGTCATATGGTCCTTGTGAACCCTTCCTAAAGCCTGCTTGGTAGAGTGCTTTATATCTCATGAATGGTTTATGGGTTATTGGTAGAATTTCATTATTAGTAGAATTTCCCGCTGGATTATGTGAACTTGGTGCTTTTTTTGCATTTGAGGGGGCTCTTTTGTAAACATCCCACGTCTATTGATATTGCTTAGTGCAGAATCTCTAAGAGGAAAATGTTGATATATTCCTAGAATACATATTAAGTAAATTTGCTTGTAAATTTGTACTGCATAAGTTTCTCTGAATTTTTCACATCAGTACTTCAAACTTTTTTTTTCTTTTTTTTCCAGTCGGAGTCTTACTCTGTTGCCCAGGCTGGAGGGCAGTGGCATGCTCATAGCCACTGCATCCTTGACTTGTTGAACTCAGGCGATCTTTCCACCTCGGTCTTCCAAGTAGCTGGGACTATAGGTGTGCGCCACCATGCCCAGATAATTTTTTGTTGTGGAGATGAGGTCTCGCCAAGTTGCCCAAGCAAGTTTCAAACTGGTGGACTCCCACAGTCTTCTCTCCTTGGCCTCCAAAGTGTGAGCCACTGTCCCGGGCCAAATTTTTTTTTTTTTACAGTGTAACCTACTTTGATCTGTCTTTCTCCCTTTGTGTGATCCCATTCCTCCATTCATAATTAAATGACACTTTGGCTCAGGAATTTGGAATTAACAGAACATTAGATTTTCAGGATTATGTCTCGGAAGCAGAGAATCCAGTCAGCTCCTTATTTCTCAGTCGTCAGCACTTCTCCCTCCTTGTTGGCCCTGAAACAAAGAACCTCTTCCAAACAGTGTCCTCTCTCAAGAAGCTTGCTAGAAAGCTATTACTGTTCCTGGTAACTGTTATGTGGGTCAAGATATTTTTGAAATTATCTTTAGCTTGCTATGTGTACAGTGTCACTGTTGCTACAGGAGAAATAATCATTGCCATTTTGTGGGAAAGTGAGGACACAGGACCATGTGATGGTCTGATGTAATGATGACTGCTTGCCCTCACAGCCAATAGAATACAGAGGCAAAAAACCGGGAGAGAGACATTTATTTTGAAATCAGATTTCAGGGAGACACGTAAGTATATTGACCAGAGTCCCCTTACACAGTTATAGTTAGTATTTTTAGTTAAAAACCCAGGCAAAGTCCTATCAATCTTAGCTGTTGATTAATATCAGCTATGAGTCTTGTGACCATGACTCAGAGTCCTGTTCAATCTGCATTTAACTCCCCACATATTCCAGAACTCAGATGTTATGTCAGTCTTGTCATTCTTTTTTTTTTTTTTTTTTTTTGAGTTGGAGTCTCACTCTGTCGTCCACACTGGAGTGCAGTGGCCGCTCCTGGCCACTGCAACCTCGACCTGCTGGACTCCAGCGATCCTTCCACCTCAGTCCTCCAAGTAGCTGGAACTACAGGCGCGCACTACCACGCCCGGCTAATTTTTGATTTATTGTAGAGATGAGGTGTCACCAAGTTGCCCAGGCAGGTCTCGAACCCGTGGGCTCAGGCAATCCACTCACTTTAGCCTCCCAAAGCACTGGGTTTACAGGCTGAGCCACCAAGCCCAGCAGTCTTGTCATTCTTTAAGCTCACGAGTTCTTACATGTTCTTTGAACAATTTATGGCTGTGGACTCTGCCTGCAGTCTATCATGGTATGTTACACAGGGAGATCTAGTTTACAAGACTCAGTGACTCAACTGAAACATACTCAGTAAATGTTCAAACGTATAATGTATAAAGGCTAGAAAAAAATAATTATATATATATGTATATATATATATATATATATATATATTTTTTTTTTTTTTTTTTTTTGTGGTGGAGTCTTACTTCGTCACCCAGGCTGGAGTGCAGTGGCACACTCATGGCCACCCCAGCATCAACCTGCTGGACTCCCATGATCCATCTGCCTCAGCCTTCCAAACAGACAGAACTACAGGCATGCGCCACCATGCCCAGCTAATTTTTTGATTTATTGTAGAGATGAGGTCTCAATAAGTTGCCTTCACTGGTCTCAAACCCATAGGCTCAGGCAGTTCACCTGCCTCGGCCTCCCAAAGTGCTGGGATGACAGGCTTAAAAAATAATTACATATCTTAAAAGAAGAACAGACACATTCCTAGAGTTTAGGGAGTTTATGTTTCCTTTTCTGGGCCCTGGGAGGACATTCCTAGGGGGTCTTAGCAGATGCCCTCCACCTCCTGGCTGTTGAGTAGTCTGGCTTGTGATGACTTTCTCCCTGGCAAAAACCAACTATTGGATAAGGTGGCACTTCAAACTTGTCTGGAAGACTAGGCAAGCAAAGCAAAGGGATGCTAAATTCCAAGGGAAAAAAAATGTATCTTTTAGATTCAAGTGGCTTTTATATGACTTAGCTATAAGAAAGTTTCCTTAAAATAAAAAATTAATTATGGTAACCCTGATTGTCCTGTCACAACGGGATTAGTGGGGGTAATGCAGCACCCATGCCTGTAATGATGTAAGTGGTGTAACCCACGGGATCAACTCATTCTGTGGTAACAGTAAGTGTGGCATATCATCCAGCTCGGGCCATCTATATGCTGAATGGAGACCATGGCTGTGGTGATAGAAAGCATTATTTGTGCAGTTGTGATAAGACTGTCTCCCTCATAAAGTCAGCAAGAAAAGTAACGTGACATTAGGCTTTTGTGTTAGAAAAAGAAAAAGTCATGATCTACAGTTTTTGGAGATGAATTATTTTGTTGATACTTTCTTTGCTAGAAAATACTCTATTTTTTCAGACTGCGTGAAGGACAAAAAACATGTTCTCATGCCATTCCCAGACTTAGTGTTCATGTTAGTACTATTTAAACTGAGTCAATGTGCAACTCTCTTTACATGTAGTTTTCCTTTTGCATAACAGAGTTATGCTTTAGGATATTTAACAGTTCTGGGCTCGATGGCTCAGCCTGTAATCCCACGCCTTTGGGAGGCTGAGGTGAGTGGATTGCCTGAGCCCACGGGTTCGAGACCTGCCTGGGCAGCGAGACCTCATCTCTACAATAAATCAAAAAATTAGCTGGGCATGGTAGCACATACCTGTAGTTCCGGCTACTCTGAAGGCTGAGGTGGAAGGATCGCCGGACCCCAGCAGGTGAGGCTGTGGTGGCCGGGAATGACCACTGCACTCCAGTCTGGGCGACCGAGTGAGACTCCAACTCAAAAAAAACCAAAAAACAATTCTGTATTTGAAATAATTTCATTTGATTTTGTCTATTCACAAGCACTAATTTTCTTTCACTACTAAAGGAAATTTAGTGTATCCCTTGCAACATTGGACCTCCTCCTTCTGTTTCCTGTCCCTTTGCCACGCACACAGTTCTTCCATCACGTGCTCCTTCTCTGGATAAGAGAGAAAAGTCTCCTTTTAGTTCCAACAGGAAATCATCTGTGCATTCAGTACATCCCATTTGGTCTTAAATGGTTATTATTCATTTATTTATTTATTTTTGGAGTCTCTGTTGCCCAGGCTGGAGTGCGGTGGCACGCTCATGGCCACCACAGCCTCGTCCTCATGGGCTCAGGTGATCCTTCCGCCTCAGCTTTCCGAGTAGCTGGAACTACAGGCGTGCGCCACCTCGCCCGACTAATTTTTTGATTTGTTGCAGAGATGAGGTCTCACCAAGTTGCCCAGGCTGGTCACGAACCCCTGGACTCAGTCCTCTCTCCTCCGCCTCCCAAAGTGCTGGGATTACAGGTTTGAGCCACCACACCTGGCCTGATTATTATTTTTAGGTTGTACTAAAAGCAGCCCACCTGTCTTTCCTGGATCTCTGAATCACTGTAGATTATACATATATGCCTATAAGATAAGCAGTTGCGTTTACATAAAAAACTGCTACAATCACAGTTGGAAAAAATATATGATTCTTTTAAAAAGTCGCAAGGTATACAATAACATTGTAAAATATGGGGATCATTTTTAAATGTAAATATTTCTGATGTTGAGACAGCGTAGTAGTAATGTACACTGTCAACTTCTGACATTGCCTCTTATAAGGTGATGACTTTATTTTTGGAATCAGGGTCTCACTCTGTTGCCCAGGCCAGAGTGCAGTGGCATGACTGTGGTTGACCACAGCCTCCACCTCCTGGGCTCAGGTGATCCTTCTGGCTCAGCATCCTGAGTAGCTAGGACTACACCACCACACCTGGCTAATGTCTTATTATAGAGACGAGGTCTTGCCAAGTTGGCCAGGCTTCCCTTGAAATCCTGGGCTCTAGCAGTCCTGTGGTCTCAGTTGCTCAAAGTGCCAGAATTACAGGTGTGAGCTACTACCCTGTCCCAGAAGTGACATTAAAAATGTCATTTAGCCTTCTGGTATCAAAGCTGGGTTGGCCGTGAGTGTGCCACTGTACTCCAGTCTGGGTGATGGAGGGAGACTCCAACTCAAAAAAACAAGTAAATAAAGCACTTCTTAGAATTGTTGTGGAAGTACGTGTAAAACAATAACAGCAGTCTCATAGTAGAGATTCTTGATATAATATGTTATATATTATACACATATAATAATAGAGCTCTTGGAGGAAAGAAAAATCTAACTTAATAAGAATTCATGGATTAACCATAATATGTGGTTAGTCATGAGTTTTATTTACTACAATAAAATGACCCTCATGGTTCTTTGCAGGGTCTTCTCACTCTGAACGAGAATATCAATCTCTGGAAAATGATCAATGGCCTCTAAGGATTTAGCAGCAGAATGATCTTATTTCAGACCATAGTTTGATTCCTGAGAAATTCCCTTCATGAATTAAATTACATAGACTTGATTCTAAGCACTTTACTGTAGCCAACTCTATGGTATCTTCTCTGGAGTCCCACAGGCAATGGCTGCTTTGGGGTTAAATCATCTCCTCAGTGATGTTGGATACAAATTTGTTTTCTGTGTTCCCAGGATAGACAAGGATTTGTACATCAGCACTACCTGCCTCTTAAGCGTCTTCCAGGCCATCACGACCACCCCCATGAACTCCAGGTGGCAGAGCTGACACTACAAGCTCCCAGAAACACTGGGCCCTGCAGCATCCTGTGCTGGATTGTGAACAGGCTGGTAAGCACTATTTTTTCTTAGGAGTGTGACTGGCAAGGGGAATGACAAAAGCTACACAAAAAGAAAGGATTGGAGGCATGGCACAGTGGCTCACGCCTGTATCCCAGGACTTTGGTAGGTTGAGACAACAGGATTACTTGAGGCCAGGAGGTTGAGATTAGCCTGGAAAACAGAGAAAAACCTCACCTTTACAAAAGTAATAGTAAAAATTAGCCAGGCATGGTGGTATGCACCTGTAGTCCCAGCCACTCAGGAAGGTGAGGCAGGAGGATCGCCTGAGTCTAAGAGGTTGAGGCTGTGGAGATATGTAATTTTGCCACTGCACGCCAGCATGAGTGATAGTGAGACTCTGACCCCCCCCCAAAAGGAGCAATAAAGAAAAATCTAGGATACTCTTTTGTATTGGTTATTAATGAAATCACAAGATTACTACATTCAGCATTGCCATCATCCTATAATATTGTGTGTTTGAGACTCATGAACTGGCCCATACAGTCATAAGCAGTACGTCCAACATGGTCACAGGCCAACGTCCCAAGTCTAGATTGACCCAAAGCATCCTTGTCATAGGGAATACCTATGTGTCATTTTACACACTCCCCCCATCTTTTTTTTAAAGATAGGGTTGGAATCTCACTCCCCTAGGCTGAAGTAAAGTGGTGCAATCACAGCTCACCACAGCCCTCGACCTCCTGGGCTCAAGTGATCCTCTCACCTCAGCCTCCCAAGTAGATGTGACTACAGGCACGTGCCGTCATGCCCAGCTAATTTTAAAATTGTTTTGTAGAAAGAGGACTTGCTGTGTTGCCTAGGCTGGCTCAAACTTCTGGGCTCAAGCGAACCTCCCATCTCAGCCTCCTGAGTTGCTGGAACTACAGGGGCCACCAAATCTGGCTAATTTTTAAAAATTTTATGTAGAGATGAGCTGTTACTATGTTTCTCAGGCTGGTCTTGAACTTTTGGGATCAAGTGATCTCTTGCCTTGGCCTTACAATGTTCTGGGATTACAGGCATGAGCCATCACTCCTGGCCCCTCCTCCATCCTAACATTATCTTTGTCTGTGTTTTTAACCCCGGTTTGTGACTGTGACCACCTTAGCACTGACAACTGCTTGTTTCTCCCAGTCAGACTCCTTGCCTTCTTGAGTCATGTCCCCAGGACGTCCAGGCTCAGCTCCGTCTGCTGTGGAAGGAATACACCATCCCCTAAGCTGGTAAGATGGCTCTAGATTTTTTGTGGGCAGTCTTGATTTTTTTAACACTTTACAGTCATTTATTCTTCCCTTACAGAGGTTTACCCATGACTATAAACAGGCACACAACAGCGAGTATGTGAACCATAGACCAAATCTCTGTCCTCAGAAAATTTATCTTGTGGTAAGAATGGCAGGTACAAACTGAACGTGATGAAAATGCTTCTCTAATTTTTCATTCAGTAAATCTTTAACGTTGGGGAGAGGCTGAGGTGGAAGGATTACTAGGCCAGGAGTTTGAGACCAGCATGGACAACATAGTGAACCCTATCACGACAAAAAGAAAAAACAAGCCAGATGAGTTAGTGCCCGCATGCAATCCCAGCTACTCAGGAGGCTGAGGCGGGAGGATTGCCTGATTTAAGGAGGTTGAGGCTGTGGTGAGCTGTGATCATGTCACTGCACTCCAGCCTGAGTGACAGAGTAAATCTCACTCTGTCACTCAGGCTGGAGTGCTGTGGCATGCTCATGGCCACCACAGCTTCGACCTGCTGGGCTCAGGTGATCCTTCTGCCTCAGCCTTCCAAGTAGCTGGAACCATGGACATGGGCCATCATGTTCGACTAATTTTTTTTTTTTTTTTTTTTATTGTAGAGACGAGGTCTCACCATGTTGCTCAGGCTGGTCTCGAACCCCTTCGCTCAGGCAGTCCTCTTGCCTCCACCTCCCAAAGTGCTGGGATTATAGGTGTGAGCCACCACACCTGGCCTCAAAAATTTTTTAATGGAGTAGTTTAGAGATTAGCAATCTTTAAATATTATCTTTTTAAAATCTTGGAAATATAGTTTATTTAGAAAGTAAATTGGAGGGAGAGAGAAAAGTCACCTTCCCAAGGTGGGGGAGGGGGCCACAAGGCTTAGGAAAACATGGCAGCCATCGCACAAAGAGCTACATGGCCAGACGAGAGCTTAGCAAAACAATGGCCAATTAAATATCTTCTAATAATGTAGAGATAAGAAAAATCTTACAGGAGTATACAACTTTAAATCAACTAATTTCAGATGCTCTGAAAATAAATAAAAATGCTCTGAAATTAACTGGCTACAGAAATATAGGCAGAGTTTAATGTCATGTAAAGCATTTAGCGTCCACTATTGAAGAATGTGAAAAGTAAAAGCAGTTGTTTCCCATGATGTGGACTGGGAGGGGGCTTGAGAGAAAATAAGATCTCAGACACAGCATGGCAGGATATCGAAGACCTGGTTTGCCATTTGACCTTCTATCTCAAATTTATAGCTGGAAATGGTGGCTCATACCTGTAATCCCAGTACTTCAGGAGGCCAAGGCACAAGAACTGCTTGAGTTCAGGAGGTTGAGGCCAGTCTGAACAACATAGTGAGACCTTGATCTACAAACAAAAAAAATCCAAAAAATCATGGTGGCACATGCCTATAGCCTCAGCTACCCATGAGGCCGAGTCCGGAGAATTGCCTGAACTCAGGAGATCGATATCATCCTGGGTACATAGCAAGATGTTGTCTCTACAAAAAGCAGTTCTAAATAAATAAATACAATTTAAAATATATAATTTTTTGTGGGAAGAGAGTAGCATATTTTTCAAGCATTTTCAGGTAAAAATTGAAAATGCTTGAGTGGGACAACTTGAGCACAAAAATCACACTGAGATTTTAATTAGAATTTAACTCATAGGAAAATATGAGACATATAAAGAAACCAACTGATTTATGGAACACTTCAAGGGTAGAATATCAAGCAAGAATCTCAATTAGCCTTTCTGGTGAGAGAGGCGGGGTGGACCTTACATTTTGAACTTTGGGAAATGAATCTATGGGGCAGCCAGCATTCATGGTCTGGGGAAGAGCGGAGGACAAAGTGTCTGGGCCTCAAGATTACATCCCATTTCTTAGGGGGTACTTGCTACTTTGATGTGTTCAAGAGAGTTTTTTACAGAATCATTAAAAATGGGCAATTATGGTGAAAAATTAAGCAGATCTTTTGTGAATATAGTTAACAGATAAAATATATTGAAAACTCCCAAATTTCAACAATAAAAGAAACATGCTTGATTTCATTGATATATATTGATCCTTAGCTTTATATCACATTTTCCATCAAGTTTTAATCAGTTAAATAATTTTTTTTTCTTTTGAGTTGGTGTCCCTGTCACCCAGGCTGGAGTGCAGTGGCATGCTCATGGCTTCCGCAGCCTCAACCTGCTGAGTTCAGGTGATCCTTTTGCCTCAGCCTTCCATGTAGCTAGAACTACAGGCCCAAGCCACCACACCTGGCTAATTTTTTATTTATTGTAGACACAAGGTCTTGCCATGTTGTTTAGGCTGGTCTAGAACCTGTGGGCTCAGACAGTCCTCTTGCCTCTGCCTCCCATAGTGCTGGGATTACTGGTGTGAGCCATTGCACCTGGCTATTAAGTAATTTCATCTGAAGAATATTTTAACAGATGTAAAATATTTTAACCAAAGAGATTAGCTTAGCTACTGATTAAGTAGTAGTATTTTTGAAATGTGTTATTAAAAGATTTAAAATATTAAAAATTAGAACTGTGCAATACTCTTAATGAATAATCATATTTTTGCAAAAAAAGATAGAAATTCTCCATGTCAGATTTGCATACCATATTTGATTCGAGAGTATTTAGGTGAAATAAGATAGCAGCAAATTCGGTTACTAGAATGGAAGATGCCTGACTATATGTGCTATGTGTCAACCTCTGGAATTTATTAAAAAAATAGCATAGACTAGGTGCAAATAATGTGTAATAATAAAGTAAAATGTAGGTAATACAATGTAGATAAAAATATAACATGGAATAGAATAAAATTGACCATAACATGCACAAAGTTAGTACAATATTAAGAAAAACGGAAAAGACATACTTAAGCATTAAATTGACAGAAGTTCTCTTAAGCCTTTAGAGGCTGATATAAACAACTTTATAGTAATAAGTTAGAAAATTGAGAGAAAAATATCTTCTGTAACATGTAGACTACCAAAACTGATATAAAAATAATTGGATTCTCAAAAACCAAATAAAGTTTAATTGTTTGAAAGCATTAGCCAAAAGTTCTTGAGTGATGCTTTTTTACACTCTTTGTTTGTTTTTTTTTTGAGTCAGAGTCTCATTCTGTTGCCCAGGGTGGAGTGCAGTGGCATGCTCAACAACCATCGCAGTGTCAGCCTGCTCTACTCAAGTGATCCTTCTGCCTCACCCTTCCAAGTAGCCGGAACTATAGGTACACACTATTACACCTGGTTAATTTTTTTGATATATTGTGGAAAAGAGGTCTACCAAGTTGCCCAGGCTGGTCTTGAACCCCTGGGCTCAGGCAGTCCTCTCATCGTGGCCTCCCAGTGCTGGGATTACAGGCTGAGCTACTGAGTCTGGCCCCAGCTGTTTTTTTTATACTCTTAAGAATTAGATATTCTTATTTTATTTTATTTTTTAGTCAAAGTCTTGCTTTGTCACCCAGGCTAAAGTGCAGTGTCATGTTCATGGCTACTACAGTCTCTACCCCTTAGTCTCCTGAGTAACTGGAACTGCAGGTGCCACATCCTGACTGGCTAATTTTTAGTTTATTATAGAGATGACATTTTACCAATCTGTGTGACTTTTACATACTTTATAACAAAATCTCCAAGGTAAGCCAATGTAATCAATTGATCTGAATATAAATTAGTATATAAGTATACAAAATGACTGCGAATGCTTTACTTTTATAAAAGGAAGTTATACCAGTGCAATAATTAACTTTTATTGTCTAATACATTATAGTTATATCAGACAGGACATTGATTGGATAAATCATTTCATGCCAGTGTGAATTTCTGTAAGTAAACATGCAGACAGAAATACTCTTGTCAGGGAAAATTTTAATAATTACTGATGACAACACATCAGAATACAAGAATAAATGATACAAGTGCCCGGTGAGCACAAGACATACGCTCAAAATCCTTATTCATTAGGGAAATGGACATCATTGTCTCAATGAAATAGTCCTTTACTCCTACTAGTATGGGTGTGTTTAAGAAGACAGATATGGCCTTTGGGAGGCTGAAGTGAGTGGATTGCTTGAGCCTGCAGGTTCGAGACCCACCTGAGCAACTTGGCGAGACCTCATCTCTACAAAAAATCAGCTGGGCGTGGTAGCACATGCCTGTAATTCTGGCTATTCGGAAGGCTGAGACGGAAGGATCGCCGGAGCCCAGCAGGTCGAGGCTGCGGTGGCCAGGAGCAGCCACTGCACTCCAGTCTGGGTGACAGAGTGAGACTCCAACTCAAAAAAAAAAAGAAGACAGATACGAGACCAGGTGTGGTGGTCTGTAATCCCAGCACTTAGGAGGCCAGGGCAAAAGAATTATCTGAGCCCAGGGGTTTGAGACCAGCCTTTGGCTAGCCCTTGTCTCTACACTAAATTAAAAAAAAAAAAAAAAAATTAGCTGGACATGGTGGCATGCCCCTGTAGTTCCAGAGTTCCAGATACTTGGAAGGCTGAGATGGAAGGATCACCTGAGCCCAGCAAGTTGAGGCTGATTTTTGTCCCTGTACTTCAGTCTGGGTGACAGAGTAAGACTCCAACTCCAACTCCACAAAAAAAAAAAAGGAAACTCAGAACCATATAGTGCTGGTGGGGTGGTAAAATGATGCAGTAAATTTAGAGACTATTTTGGCAGTTTCTGTAAAACTAACATAGAGTTACCACATGACCCTCCAACTTCACTACTGAGTATATGCCCCATAGAAATGAAAACGTGTCCACACAGAAACTTGTATGTGAATGTTTCATGGATACATTACTCACTGTTGTCTGCATTGCTAGCTAATTTCTGTAATGCCAAAATATTAGAAGCCTGGGGTGGATGGATCACTTGAGTCCTGGAGTTTAAGACCAACCAGAGCAACATAGCATGACCTCCATCTCTAAAAAAAATTAAAAATTGGCCAGGTATGGTGGTGCTTGTTGCTTCAGCTACTTGGGAGAGCGAGACCCCATCTCAAACAAACACACACACACACACACGCTTGGGGAGCTAAAAAAATTATATGCATTTTAAGTTATCTATGTATTACTTCTAGTTAGCTGTAATCAGAAGTGTCTGGATGTTGATGTTAACCACTTAGAGCATCTCTTGTAATTACAGAAGTCAAGCATGACTTGTGTTCACCTTTTGTTATTGGTATATATTAAATATTACAGTTTTAATAGTTTTGTTTATTTCTTAAAATGTGTAGGGCAACCCCTTCGGGTCCTCTCTCTCTGTGGGAGCTTTTCTGTCCTCTTAATAAATCCTGCTTTAAAAAGAAAATGTGTATGCATTTTTTGACACTCTCTATATATATGAGGTGCCAAAAATAAGTATACACTTTTTAAAAAAAATTTTATTTTATTTTTTGAGTTGGAGTCTCACTCTGTCACCCAAGCACTTTTTTTTTTGAGTTGGAGTCTCACTCCATCGCCCACACTGGAGTGGAGTGGCATGCTTATGGCCACCCCACCAGCTATCCTTCCGCCTCAGCCCTCAAAGTAGCCAGAACCACAGGTGCACACTACCACACCCAGCTAATTTTTTAATTTATTGTAGAGACACGGTCTCACCATGTTGCCCAGGCTGGTCTCACACCCGCGGACTTAGGCAATCCTTTTGCCTCAGCCTCCCAAAGTGCTGGGATTACAGGCTTGAACTACCTCGCCCAGCTTGTATACGCATTTTTTTTTCTGTTGTGTTTTTTTAGAAAGCAGAATTTTATTGAGAGGACAGAAAAGCTCCCACAGCAGGAAGGGGACGTTTTAAGAGATATTATTGACATACTTTTGAAGTTGAATTGAATTATGGTAGCAGTGTGTATTATGGTGTTCACTCAATTGTGCTTCTGACATTTTCTTTGGCTTTCCTGCCTGTTGCATGGTGATGGGAGCATTCATTTGATTAATGCTGTCTTTGAAGTGAACGTCATACTTAAAATGTTGTGTATACATTGATTCAAAACCTAGATAGATGATATAGATAAATAGCATCACTGCCTCAGGAATCATAATAGTACATAACATAATCTAAAAAATAGAAGAATAGGAATCAGAAATTTTGAAATATGTAACTCGAAGGAGAGTTTACTCAGTACAGTGTGAGTGGAAGGAAGAAGAAAAATGGCTAAGGAACAAAACACATTATGCATGTCCATCAGTGATGTAAAACGTACCTAATATTGTGAAAGTGCTCAAAGACAGCATAGGCTAGAGTCAGATGAACTGGATTGGTGACTTACAGACATAGCAGTATTTTGAAAATTGAAGGACACTTTTTTTGTACAATAAGAAATCAAGTGAAAAGTTTGAATTTCTTCAAAAATTGAGTTCAGCCATTAGAGTGACCAGATTTCAATCATGGGCATTTGTAGACCTAAACCAGATCATAGCCAAGTAGACACCAAGGGCATCCCAGAATCTAGTACATCAGGAAGGTTGCTTCTTAACCAGTGAGGGCTGGGCCACAGGGACCCCCGGGGTGGAGCTGAACCCTGGTATCTTAGGAGACCCAGGACAGTTGGAGAATTGAGCTGTGAGAATCAGAGCAGGGGTTGCGGTATCAGCCTGTTAGGAAGCAGACCATACAGCAGGGGCTGGGTGGTGGTAGGTGAGGGAGCAAAGCTTCATCTGTCTTTACAGCTGCTCCCCCGTTGCTCACATTACCGCCTGAGTTCCATTGTCTGTTACATCAGCACCAGCATTAGATTCTCATGGGAGTGCAAAACTTACTGTGAACCGTTTATGAGAGGAATCTAGATTGCATGCTTCTTTTTTTTTTTGAGTTGGAGTCTCACGCTTGCCCAGGCTGGAGTGCAGTGGCACGCTCATGGCCACTGCAGCCTCGACCTGTTGGGCTCAGGTAGGTGATCCTTCCACCTCTGCCTTCCATGAGTCACATGCTTCTTATGAGAGTGTAATGCCTGATGATCTATGGTGGAGCCTAGGCAGTGATGCTATCCATGGAAAGCAGCTGCAAATATAGACTACCATTAGCAGTAAGGTTTGACTGCACTTCCCTCCTCTCCCCCTGCGGTCCATGGAGGTTGAGGTGAGAGACTTGCTTGAGCCCTGAAGTTCAAGACCATCCTTGTCTCAAAAAAAAAAAAAAAAAAATTAGGTGGCCCGGTGGTACACATTTGTAGTCTTAGCTACTGTGAAGGCTGAAGTGGAAGAATCACCTGAACCCAGAAGATTGAGGCTGCAGTGAACTGGGATCCTGCCATCACACTCCAGCCTGGGTGACAGAGTGAAAGTTTGTCTTGTAAATAAAAAGAATAAAAGTAAATCACAAAGATAACAGACTCACTCTCTTCAGAAAGGCGCTGCCCCAAAGGTGGAACACCATCTGTTCCTGAGGGATTGGGTCACCATCTCTGTCTGGTCAGGCCTTAGTTGAGATTCATACTGAAGGCAAACCCTACAAATGTGAAGAATGTGGCAAGGCCTTTCACTCTCCTATGGGATTTGCTGGACATACGAATATCCATATTGGAGAAAAGCCCTAAAACTGTAAAGAATGTGGCAAAGACTTTTGCTCTCATGAGGGATTTGCTCAACATATGAAGACTCATACTGAAGGGAAACCCTTCAAATGTGAAAAATGCAGCAAAGACTTTGCACTTCACTACACATCAGAGAATCCATACTAAAGAGAAACCCTACAAAGGGGGAAAATGTGGCAAAGCCTTTTACTTTCATTCAGTACTTGCGGAACATATGGAGAGAAAGGCTACAAATATAAAGTGACAAAACCTTTCACTCTCACCCAGGACTTGTTCAACATATGAATATCCATACTGGAGATAAACCCTAGGAATGTAAAGAATGTGGCAAAACCTTTAACTGTTACTCCAACTTTTGTCAACATCAGAGAGCTAATACTTGATAAATGCCCTGTACCTGTAAAGACTGAAGAAATATTTATTAAAATATAATCCATAGAGAACTTAGAGAAAGACATATAAAGGGCTGAGTGCAGTGACTCAAGCCTGTAATCCCAGCACTTTGGGTGGTGGTGGGGAGATGATTGCCTGAACTCAGGGATTCAAGACTAGCCAGATCAACATGGTGAGACCTCTTCTCTACAATAAATAAAAAAAATTAGCTGGGCATGATGACACATGTCTGTGGTTCCAGCTACTTGGCCAAGGCAGAAGGATCAACTGAGCCCAGCAGGTCGAGGCTGCAGTGGCCGTGAGATTGCTTGGGCACAGAGTGAGACTCCGACTCAAAAAAAAAACCATATAAAGTAGCATTGCCTTTACTTACAACACAGATCTTTTGAATGTACAAATGTAAAGACTGTCTAAAGCCTTTGACTGTAGCTGACACTTTGTTTGACTTTTGAGAGTTGACATTGAAGTAAACCTTTATAAACTTAATGAATGTGGAATGACCATTGTTCAAAATATATGCCTGAGAAAACACCAGGGTGTTCATACCGAAAAGTTTACAGATGCAATGTATGTGAAAAATTATCATTATTATTATTATTATTATTATTTTGAATTGGAGTCTCACTCTGTCACCCAGACTGGAGTGCAGTGGCCACTCCAGGCCACCGCAGCCTCGACCTGCTGGGCTCCGGCGATCATTCTGCCTCAGCCTTCCAAGTAGCTGGAACTACAGGCGTGCGCTACCACGCCCGGCTCATTTTGATTTAACTGTAGAAATGAGGTCTTGCCAAATTGCCCAGGCGGGTCTCAAACCCGTGGGCTCAGGCAATCCACTCACCTCAGCCTCCCAAAGGTGTGGGATTACAGGCTGAGCCACCGAGCCCGGCTGTGAAAAATTATTTAAACAAAAGTCAAGTTTACATAAATATGAGAGGATTCACACTATAAAGTACTGTGGCACTCATACGTTCAGACAGCAAACTAATAAGTCAAAGTCAAAATAATTAGATGAGTTATTTGCTTACATGTTGAGTGGGTTACAAGACTGATCATTTTTTCTTTTTTTATGGAAGCATAGGTATATACCATGTATACTTTTGTTTTTGCATTGGCAGAATTGAAGATTTTTTGAAAAGCAAATATTGTTGATGTAACAACTCACTTGTTGCTATGCCTTCATTCCTAGTGTTTATGTAAAAGCATGTTGTCAATTGTTGCTGTTACTACTATAATGCTATGATAGGCCTTTTTATACTAGGCGAGTATAATTCCTTAACTTTTCCAGGGTTGTTGAAACACACTAAAGTGTAAGATGCATTAAAAAGTCTAAGTGGTTCCTTGTGACTCATGTTGAGCAGTGAGTCCTGAATGAGATAGGTGCTCAGGGCAACATTTTTTGGCACTGGAATAAAAGACATAGAAACATTGAGAATTTTAAAAATTAATTGTCTTACCAATTGCATAAAAAAAATGAGACCAGTTCATTAATATTCTGATGTATCTAAATAGAGCTCTCTTGACATCTAAGAAAAGATCATTGCTCTCTGAAAAGGTATATGTTGTATATTTATGCTTGATAATAAATAATTAGCTTCAGTTTTGAAAACTGAAGAAAACTGCACTCATATATATCACTCTATAAGAAGAACAGAAATGTTTTTTGAAAGTTTGTAATCAGTTTTTATTTGCAAGCATACAGTGAACTTTGGAATATTTGTTTAGACTGTGCACTTAATTTGTTTTAATAAACAGAATTGTATTAAAACATTAAAGATTGGTGTGCACAGAATGAAGTGTTATCCTGCCACAGGTGTTAACATATCCCATCTTACTTGAGATTGTAGGTAAATAATGATGACCGTCGCTGGGCGCAGTGGCTCAAGCCTGTCATCCCAGCACTTTGGGAGGCCGAGGGGAGAGGATTGCCTGAGTCCAGGGGTTTGAGACGAGCCTGCACAACTTGGTGAGACCTTGTCTTTACAATAAATTTTAAAAATTAACCAGTCATGGTGGCGTGTGCCTTTAGTTCCAGCTATTTGGAAGACTGAGGTGGAAGTATCGCCTTAGCCCGACAGGCCAAGACTGCAGTGGCCATAAGTGTGCCACTGCACTCCAGCCTGGGTGACACAGTGAGACTCCAACTCAAAGAAGTTCTGGATGGGTTTCCCAGCCAAGACTCCAGCCATCAGACATGGGGCATCTTCCTGGACCCAGTGCTTCACCCGTAGCTGGGGACTGGCACACATATTAGCTGTAAGTGGGTGTCAGGGGCTAAACTGAGGCCCCCCAGAATTTACGTGCTGAAGCCCTAACCCAAGGACCTCACATGACTATTTGATGATGGGACCTTTAAAAGGCTAATTGTAGGCTGGGCATGGTGGCTGATGCCTATAATCCCAGCAATTTGGGAGGCTGAGGGGAGAGGATTGCCTGAGCCCACATGTTTGACACCAGCCTGGGGAACTTGGCGAGACCTCATCTCTACAATAAATCACAAATAAGTTGGGTCTCTATAGTAAAAGGAAAGTCGGGCATGGTGGTGGTACCTGTAGTTCCAGCCACTTGGGAGGCTAAGGTTGTGGTGAGCTCTGATTGTACCACTGCACTCCATCCTGGGTGAGAGACCCCCCAACTCAAAAAATAAATAAGAAAAAATTAAAAATGCATTAAAAAATACAAGGTAAAAAAGGAAATGACACAGTCACCCACAGGAAGACACAGAAGATGGCTTCTCCACATCCAAGAGACGGGCCTCGGGAACAACCAGCCCTGAAAATCCTTGACCTCGGCCTTCCAGCCTCCAGGACTGGGAGAGAAGAAAGTCCTGATGTTTAAGCTGCCTGGTGTATGGTGCTGTCATAGTAGTCTTGGCAAACTCACATACAGGTGGCAACTGCACCCATCTCTCCCTCTTGCCCACTCTGTAACTCTATAGGTCCAGGGGCTGGGGTTGTCCTGGGTTGAGGGCAGGCCTGGGTGTGTGAGGTGTCAGGAAAGGAAGGTCCTTTGCTCCTTCCATCATGACCCTTACAAATCTACGGGGTGCTTTTCACACTTTCTATGCACAGGGGACTCTCCATTTCTTTCTTTTTTTTTTTTTTTGGGTTGGAGTCTCACTCTGTCACCCAGACTGGAGTGCAGTGGCCGATCCCGGCCACCGCAGCCCTCACCTGCTGGGCTCTGGCGATCCTTCCACCTCAGCCTTCCAAGTAGCCGGAATTACAGGCATGCGCTACTACAACTGGCTAATTTTTTTGGATTTATTGCAGAGATGAGGTCTTGCTGCCCAGGCAGGTCTCGAACCCGCGGGCTCAGGCAGTCTACTTACCTCAGCCTCCGAAAGGCATGGGATTACAGGCTGAGCCACCGAACCCGGCTTCTTTCTTTCTTTTTTTGTTTTTTTCTCCTTTTTTTCTGTTGGAGTCTTGCTCTGTCTCCCAGACTGGAGTGCAGTAGCTGCTCCCGGCCACCGCAGCCTCTTGCTGGGCTCCGGCGATCCTTCCGCCTCAGCCTTCCGAGTAGCTGGAATTACAGGCATGTGCTACCATGCCTGGCTGATTTTTTTATTTATTGTAGAGATGAGGTCTTGCTGCCCAGGCGGGTCTCGAACCCGCCGGCTCAGGCAATCCACTCACCTCAGCCTCCCAAAGGCGTGGGATTACAGGCTGAGCCACCGAGCCCGGCAGATCTTTTTTTTTTTTTTAATAGCTGGATTCTAACTCTGCTGCCCAGGCTAGAGTGCAGTGGCATAATCAGGGATCACTGCAGCTCTCCTGGGCTCAGGCGATCCTCCTGCCTCAACCTCCCTAGTTGTTGGGACTACAGGCACAGGCCAGCACACCCAGCTCATTTGTTTAAGTTTATTTTAGAGATGAAGCCTTGCTATGTTGCCCAGACAGCTCATTTGTTTAAATTTATTTTAGATACATGGCCTTGCTATGTTGCCCAGCCTGGTTTCAAACCCCTGCTCTCAGGCAATCCTCCCGCTTCTGCCTCCTAAAGTTCTTTTGACTATAGGCGTGAGCCACTCCGCCAGGCTTCCATTTAGGTGTTTTCTATTTTTTCTTTTTTGTGGTTGAAATCTCACTCTATCGCCCAGGCTGGAGTGCAGTGGCATGCTCATGGCCACTGCAGTCGTGGTCTGCTGGGCTCAGGCGATCCTTCTGCCTCAGCCCTTGAAGTAGCTGGAACTACAGGTACGTGCCACCATGCCTGGCTAATTTTTGAGTTTTATGTAGAGACGAGTTGCCCAAGCTGGTTAGGGATAAGGGGACCAGAGGACTAAAAGCACTATCAGGATTAGGGGACAGGGACTAGGGGACCAAGAAACCAGAAACAAGGAACAGCATAAGGGTGACCGGGGATCAGGAGGCCAAGGGACCAGGAAATCGAGGCCAGAGAAGCAGGACACCAAGGGACCAGTGCAATGGAGCAGGTAACCACAGGACAGATGGCAAGGGGTCAGGGGACCCGAAACCAGGGAGAGGGAACAGAGAACCAGGAGACGAAACTAGGGGACAACAGGGCCAGGGGATCAGGGGACTAAATGGAAACCAGAAGACAGGGTACAGGGTAACAAGGGCTCGGGACCAGCAGACAGATCAGAGTCCCATGGGATAGGACAGTGAAACGTGCTCTCCATAACCCATGCGGGCCTGGGGCAGGGGCCCATGGGAGGATAGCAGAAGGAGGGACTCGGGCATTCAGAGGCAACATGACAACACCAAGTGCTGGGGAGAACACGGGGCTGTGGGAACTCTCGTCCATTGCCAGTAGTTCAGTATGGTGCAGCGAGTTTGGGAGACTGTAGGGTCAGGCCTGGTGGGCTAGGCAGGGTCCCGGGAGACCTCCCAGACGCCAAGTCCACCCCGGACATGACCCCGATGAAGGGCAGGCTCGCGGTCACCCTCCCTGCCTAGGCTTTCTCCTGGTCATGGCCTCCCGTGCCCTGCTGGACCGCAGGAGTGGCCTGAAAAGACGCAGCGCTGTTCGGTGAGGGGGGCCCAGGGTGGGAGCAGGATGGAGGGCCTGCCGTCCTGGGCCCGGGCCCAGGTGGACGACGTGGGGCGGAGGCCCTTCCAGGCCTTCTTGGCTTCACGGAGAAGGACACAGGATGGTCTGTCCCCCCCGGTGGGCTCCAGCGCCAAGTCCCCTCCCAAGCCACCCTCTGGGGCAATGCATAGCAGGGCGGTCGTGGGCCCCGCCAGTCCCTCTGGGCCTTTTTCTTCCGTCTCTACTCCAAAAAGGTTCTGCTCACCGGGCGCTGACCTTGGGTTTCCCGGCCATGCCTCAGAAGGGCAGGGGGATGAGGTCCAGACCCCTCCCGGCCCCTGGCCACAGCCTCCCACACCGGCTGGAGGGGGCAGGGGCCGCGACCCACGGACGTCGGGGACATCAGCCCCCGCCCTCACCCCCATGGGGGTGAAGGAGGCTGGAGCGGTCCGGGGCGGGCGCAGAAGCCACCGAGCTGCACAGGGATGGGGTCGGCGAGTCCGTCCGAGGTGGGCCGGGCGGGGAGGAGGTGAGCTCGAGGGCCACACCGTCCCCACTTTCCAGCCGGCTGTGACCTGATGTTCCTCCCTGATGTCACCCCGCGAGGCGACACGGGGGGCAGGAAGTCAACGACCCGCAGGGCTTCCATGGGAGGAGGCGGCGCACTGACCAAGAACCACGGAGGCGAGAGTTCCGAGCATCTCCTGCGAGGGGCGCTCCACCCCAGTCCCGGGGCATGCTGGGATTGCGGTCCTCAGGCGCAGACATCAGCCAGGAGCCAGTCAGACGCCAGAGCTTCCGGCATGCCCTGCGAGGGGCGCACCACTCGAGTCCCGGGGCATGCTGGGATTGCAGTCCTGCAGCCCAGCGACCCAATGACCAGGAGCCTTTTACACGCCTGAGTTTCTAGAATGGACTGTGGGAGGTGCACAACTCCAGTCCTAGGGCATGCTGGGATTGCGGTCCCCGGACCAGGCATCAACCATGAGCCAGTCAGACATCAGAGTTCCCAGCATGCCCTGCGAGGACGCACCACCCCAGTCCTGGGGCATGCTGGGATTGCAGTCCTGCAGCCCAGCGACCCAATGACAAGGAGCCATTGAGAGGCCTGAGTTCCCAGCATGCCCTGTGAGGGGCGCCCCACCCCAGTCCCGGGGCAAGCTGGGGTTGCAGTCCTCCTGCCCAGCAATTCAACCACCAAGAGCCATTCAGACGCCAGAGTTACCAGCATGTCCTGCGAAGCACACATCGCCCTGCTCCTCCCCCGTCCCAAGTTCAGGTGCCGGGAGGAATCTCAGCCTTAAAATCCTACATGCAAAAATCCGCTTTCTTTGCCTCCCACAGCTCCGTCAGAACGCATCGCCTATCACTCAAGACGAGAGGGGTGGGACCTGGAGCTTTATCCAATCAGCGGAAGCTTAGGTTTGCACTGCCCAATCAGACGGGAGCCGGAAGTGAAGGGGCGTCTTCCGGGCTCTGATCGGGCCTTTGTTTTCTGCGCCTACACGGAGGTTGTTGTACCCGCTGCTTTCTGGTGGGGGCCTCCTTCGCTTCAATCTCTGTCGCCCTCTGGCCTGCAGGCCTTGGGAGATCCGTAGGGAGGACGCCGGGATACCCGGAAGCCGGGAGATGGTGAGTGTGCGGGCGGGTGTCCCCAGAGGGGCAAGGGGGATGGACCCGGGTGACGCGGCTGAGGCGGGATCGGCCTCCCTGTCAGCTCTGGGCCTGGACCTGTCACTTTCGGCGGCTCAGCCCAGTCTCCTCGATGCAGGGTGGGGCTGGGCCGGGACCCGGAGATTCTGTCCCTGCGGCGATCTTTCCCGCCGGAGCCCTCCAGGCGGCCTTGAGTTCCGGATTTGCGGGACCCGGCAGGGTCGTGGAGGGGATCCATCCCGCGTGGGGGGCACGTGGGGGTGTCGCGGACGCTGTGGTCCAGCCTTCGTCTCTCTCTCCCCTCCAAGGTTAAACGGCGGCTCCGTCACAGCGTTAAGGAGTCCCCTTGGCCCAACAGCGGGTCGTGAGTCCAGAAACCCCAGCCAGGACTCGTGGTGTGGGGTCCCCGGAGGGGCTGGGGGCGAAGGCTTGGCGAAGGGGCAGGAGCAAGCCGGCCACGGGCAGGGGCTGGTGGGTGACAGCCCCGCAGTCGCTCGATCTGGAATATCCAGGCGGAAATCCCCAGGACAAGTCATCAGGGTCTTTGGCCATTTGTGTCCCCAGGTCCCAACCCCGTTCTGCTCAGCGCAGCACAGTCAGTAAGTCGAGAGATGAAGTTGGAACAAGGGCTGTGACTTCTTTTAGGAGGGGCGTTGAAGATGAGGGGCTGGCATCCTAAAGACCCCTCTTAGTTTGTGTGTTCTTGTTTTGGTTTTTATCCAGGCTGTGGTGACAGAGGGGCCTGAGATCAAGAGATGGTTTAGAACTTCAGACATCTGGGCAACAACAGGAGTCCTGGAAATTTGTAATGTCTGTTTGTCCTTAGTTCGTGGTCTCCTTGTTTTTATTTTGTTTTGAGTGGGACTCTGTCGCCCAGACTGGAGGGCAGTGGAATCCTCACGGCCACCGCAGCCTGGCCCTACTGGGTTTAGGCGATCCTTTCTCAGTCTTCCAAGTAACGAACCGAACCACAGGCATGCACTACCTACTACACCCGGCTAATTTTTTGGTTTATTGTAGACATGGGGTCCTGCCAAGTTGCCTAGGGAGGTCTCAAACTCCTAGACTCAGGCAGTTATCTTATCTCCACCTTCCAAAATGCTGGGATTGCAAGCATGAGCCACTATGCCTAGCTTGTTTTTTTTGGGGGGGGTTGGTTTTTGTTTTGAGTTGGAGTCTCACTGTGTCGCCTGGTCTGGGGTGCAGCAGCACGGTCACGGCCACTGCAGCCTCGACCTGCTGGGCTCAGGTGATTCTTCTGTCTTAGCCTCCAAGTAGCAGGAACTACAGGCATGTACCACCACGCTCGGCTAATTTTTCTTGATTTATTGCCTAGGCTGGTCTCAAATCCCTGAGCTCTGGCATCCTCTTGCCTTGGCCTCCCAAAGTACTGGGATGACATGCTTGAGCCATTGTGCCCGCCCTTTTTAAATTCTTATTTAACAGAACAGTGTTAGTGCACATGCTCCCCTTTTCCCAGAGGTAATCTGGACAGCTGCATACTTGTTCCTACTTTTCAGTGTTTTAAACTATCTTAGCTATGTGCAAGCATGAACAGAGGCCAGAGACACCCCTCTAAAATTGAGTTATTTATGTTAGTCTTTTTGATGCCCAAGTGTTCTTTGACTTGACCCTGAAATAACTCTTAGAGAAAAAAAAGAGAAAAGAAAGGACAGGCAAAAATTTCATACAAGAAAGGCCTGGCTCGGGCAGGTATCTCTTCAAAATGAAAGACACTTTTTTTTTTAAAGAGTGGGTCTCAGTCTGTCGCCCAGGCTAGAGTGCAGTGGCACACTCATGGCCACCCCCAGCGTCAAACTGCTGGGCTCCGGCAATCCATCCACCTCAGTCTTCCAAGTAGCTGGAACTACAGGCGGGTGCTAGCTAATAAGAAAGACACTTTTTTGCTCTAAGCTAAGAGACTAGATATATTTTCCCAACAATTAATATGCTAAAGTGGGTGAAGCCCAGGTAACTGCCACTTTGCAAATTGACATCTCTCCAGGAGAGGAGTGGTAGTGGTCTCTTCCTGGCCACATTGTCTTTTACACCTGCTAGACTTTTCTAGTTCACAAGTTCCGGAGCTAAAAGGTAGTCTTACTGTCCTTTCTTTCTTTCTTTTTTTTGAGTTGGAACTCATAGCCACCCCAGCGTCGACCTTCTGGGCTCCAGTGATCCTTCCACCTCTGCCTTTCTAGTAGCCTGGAACTACAGACGTGTACTACCATGCCCAACTGTTTTATTTTATTGTAGAGACAAGGTCTCACCAAGTTGCCTGGACAGATCTCGAGCCTGTGGGCTCAGGCAATCCACTCGTCTTGGCCTCCCAAAGTGCTGGGATTACAGGCTGAGCCTCTGAGCCCGGCCCTTACTGTCTTTTCTATGGCTTTGGTTAGTTAAGGGGTGGTTTTCCCCCTTGTCTTTGACAGGGAAGCCAGAAGATCCTTAGTGATTATTATGCTAATCCTTAAATTGAAATGTTGACTGTCTTATTCTTAAATCTGATGGGATTTTCTTTTGATTTGCCAGAAGGTGGGCGGAGGCTGCCTGCTTGGTGTGCTGTAAAATATAATTTAAAAAATATCTGGCCTGTAATCCCAGCGCTTTGGGAGGCCGAGGTGAATGGATTGCCTGAGCCCGTGGGTTCAAGACCCACCTGGGCAACTTGGCGAGATCTCATCTCTACAATAAACCAAAAAAAAAAAAAAAATTAGCCGGGCGTGGTAGTGTGCGCCTATAGTTTCAGCTAGTTGGAAGGCTGAGGTGGAAGGATCGCCAGAGTCCAGCAGGTCGAGGCTGCAGTGGCCAGGAGCAGCCACTGCACTCCAGTCTGGGTGACAGAGTGAGACTCCAACTCAAAAAAAATAAAAATAAAAATGCCTGTTTTCTAAAGTCTACCTATGGGAAATTTATCAATGTCTTACCTGTGTTAGCTACCCTGCCTTATTTTGACATTTCACTGTTACATTCACGATTTGTTAAGTCTAAGTTTTGTCTTTCTCCAAGATAGTAATTTACAGGAAATATATTTAAGTTGATTAGGTGACTGATTTGTTTGCATTTTCAGACACATTGCTGGTCTGGAGGGGAAAAGGCAGAAATGATTCCTCTCCTCTGGATTAAGTTCCACTTGTGAAAGGAGAAAAACTATCCCAAAGGACAAGGATAACGCACCTGAGGGAGATGGTGTAAGAACCCACAAGAAGCATCTCAGGTACACGGGAGAGCAAGTTCAGTGTCTCCTGAGAAGGTGGTCACCAGGTATGTCAGTTAGCAGGACTGGGTAAGAGAACATCACAAGTCATAGGATGTCCTGACTTGACACTTCAGTCTGGCGTGTGTGTGTCAGTGAATGCTTCCCCTACCTGAGTTTGTCCCCTTTCAAAAAAATGCATCCACTTATTTCAACGCCAGTCTTTCACTAACTGTAAAATGTATTTTATCAATAGGGGTTGAAAACTTTGAAAAATTTTCAGGCATGATATAGGTTGATTTCTGGAAAAAATTAAATATCTGCTTTGAGATTCCATTTGTTAAAAACCTTACCTACCTTTTTTTTGTTTTGCAGAATGGGTGCAGTAAGATTCTGAGGACTGTTCTATTTTAGTGTAATTTCAAACAGAATACCAGGACATTACTTTGCAAATAGTACCTTGAAAAAAAAATAGGGAAAATTTTTCTATCATTTTAACTGTGGAACATCAATATGTTTTCATAAGAAAGTGTGGGCTGCAGTGGTCATGAGTGTGCCACTGCACTCCACCCTGGGTGACTGAGTGAGACTCTGACTTAAAAAAATAGAAAATGTGGTATATTAATTGGTGAATTACATACATTCATGAACACATCAGTTCCTCTTTGTTTGCAGAGTGGAGAATTTGGATAACTCTTCTGTATCCTTTTATCTGGATATCAGCTTATTGCTAAATTTTATGAGGAAAACATAGTGACATTAGCTCAAAGAGCCACATGGCCAGACCAGAGCTTAGCAAAACAATGGCCACCATAGCTCAATGAACACATGGTCTGGCCAGAGCTGAACAAAAGACAGGATGGAGGGTGACACCAGCAGATCCGAGTTCCAAGAATGTTTCACCCCAACGTCAGCTTGTTTATAGGAGGAATATAATGAGAGGTGTGTATTGGCTCAAACTGTGGATGGGCCAAGCTGTGGGTGGGTCAGAGTTGAAGGGTCAGGAAAGAAAATATTTGGTTCACAAGTGTTTTGTTATGAGCACTGGAGACAAAAATATTCACACAATTTTTTTTTTCAAGTCTCACTCTGTTGCCCAGGCTGCAGTGCAGTGGCACGCATACGGCCACCCCAGCATCAACCTGCTGGGGTCTGACAATCCCTCCGCCTCAACTTTCCAAGTAGCCAGAACTATAGGTGTGCACTCTCATGCCCAGCTTATTTTTATTTTTTAAATTGTTTTCATTGTAGAGATAAGGTCTCGTCAAGTTTCCCGGGCTGGTCTCAAATCTGCAAGCTCAGACAATTCACTTGCCTCTGTCTCCCAAGTGCAGGGATTATAGGCTGAGCCACCAAGCCCAATCAAAATTTCTTCTTCTTGTATGTTATAAAATAGGCAAAGAACTGGCTTTAATGGATTAAAATTATACAAAATCTGGGAGTCAGGTTTCTCTTGGGCAGGCTTAGTTTTAAGAGAGACCTGGAAATACCCCAGAGGCCCAGAGATCAGAATCCCACCTAGGCCTCACTTCCTGCCCCAGCCTGACCCCAGTCCACCTTCTATGCCTCTCCTAGGTCTGGCTCCACCCTGAGCTCTTGCCTCAGGATTGATCAGAGGTCAGAGTTTTGGGTGACTGCTTCTAGTCTCTCTCCAGAGTTGGTGCTTGCAATTTCTCCAAACCCAAAAGTAGATAGATGGGAGCAAGGAACGTATATTTGGGGTTTCTGTTTTTCATTAAACCTTGTGTTTCTGGAGCCCTCCCACCCGACAACTGGTTCTTCATTCTTGCAGATCCTATAGTTGCTACTCAAGTTATAAAACTGTAAATAACCGGGCTCAGTGGCTCAGCCTGTAATCACGCGCCTTTGGGAGGCTGAGGTGAGTGGATTGCCTGAGCCTGCGGGTTTGAGACCCACCTGGGTGGCGAGACCTCATCTCTACAATAAATCAAAAAATCAGCCAGGCGTGGTAGCGCATGCCTGTAATTCCGGCTACTTGGAAGGCTGAGGCTGAAGGATCGCTGGAGCCCAGCAGTTCAAGGCTGCGGTGGCTGGGAGCGGCCACTACACTCCAGTCTGGGCTACAGAGTGAGACTCCAACTCAATAAAAAAAACCAAACTGTAAATAGCAAGGATGCCAAAAAGAATGTTTATACATTATAAAAGATGTTATCTATGTATTACATGTCAAAGCTGAATTGAATTACTGTAGTAATGTGTAGTGTGATATTTATTCAAAAGATGGTGCTAATCTTTTGTTAATCAGTATGTACTGAATATTACTATTTTTTTTTTTTTAGTTGGAGTCTCACTTTGTTGCCCAGGCTGGAGTGCACTGGCACACTCATGGCCACCACAGCCTCCACCTCCTGGGCTCACACAATCCTTCCACCTCAACTTTCCAAGTAGCTGGAAGTACAGGTGCACATCCCCATACCCTTCTAATTTTTTGGTATTTTTATTGTAGAGATGAGCTCTCACCAAATTGCCCAGGCTGCTCTCAAACCTCTGGACTCAGACAGTCTTCTCACTTCTGCCTCCCAAAGTGCTAGGATTGCAGGTGTGTTTCAGAATCTGTGTCTTATGACAAAACACATAGAAAAGTGGACTCTTTCTGCACTTCTGTGTCTGTCTATGGGTGTGGTGGTAGCAGGTAAAGGATTGTGCTCATGTCTTTAAAGGCATATTCTGACCAGGTGTGGTGGCTCACACCACCAGAAATATCAGCCCTTAGGGAGATGGGAAACAAGAGGATTATTTGAGCCCAGAAGTTTGAGAGCAACCTGGACAGCATAGTAAGATCTTGTCACTTCAAAAAATTAAAAATGTTAGCTGAGAATGATAGCACATGCCTGTAGTCCCAGCCACTTGGGAGGCTAAGATGGAAGGTTTATCTGAACCTAGGAATTCAAGGCTGTGGTGAGCCATGATGGTGCCACTACACTCCTGCCTGAGTGACAGAGTGAGACACTTACTTAAAAATAAATTAATTAAATTAAACTAAAAATATAAAGGCATATTTTCTACATGTAGGTGTGACTTGTCCAGATATCTCACCTCAGGAGAAATCCAAGAAGAGGAGGAAGAGGAAGAAATGGCTGGTTCTCAGGTAAACGTGTCCCAGGTCAGGGGCTGTGTCTGCTTTTCCTACAGGATGCCATGTTTTTAGAGCTTGCAAACCTTTACTTCTCTACTTGTGATGGTTCTGCCTAATAAGTTTGTTTCAACTAGTTTCTGTTTTTCTTGTGATATCAAGGGACTCTGAGAAACACTTCTCCCATACACACCAGTGCCTTCTCTCTATTTTTTTCATCCAGGCTTTTTAGCTGCCATGAATAGTTCTCACCATGAATTTATGACTTCCAGAATTTATTGGTTGATTGAGTTGGAGTCTTACTCTTGTCACCCAGGCTGGAGTGCAATGGCCTGCTCACAGCCACCACAGCCTCGACCTGCTGGGCTTAGGTGATCCTTCTGCCTCAGCCTTCCAAGTAGCTGAAACTACAGGTGCATGCCACCATGCCCAGCTAATTTTTTGGTTTATTTTAGAGTTGAGGTCTTGCCACATTGGCCAGACTGGTCTTGAAACCATGAGCTCAGGCAGTCCTCTCACCTTGGCCTCCCAGTGTGCTGAGATTATAGGCATGAGCCACCATGCCCAGCCTGACCTCCAGAATTTAAAATGTTCCCCTGTGGCTATGGAACATAGGAAGGCATGGATCCCCAAGATTCCTGTTGAAGATGGGACAGCACCTCAGATATTAGTGAAGGATGGGAGCATCTACTATTAAAGTTTTATCTGGATGCTCCATCAGCTCCATGCAGAACATGTTTAATAAAATGCACATTTAAACAAGATGGCAGGTACTGCCCGCGATAACTCAGGAAGGTCTGAGTAAAGAATAATTAGAAGAGACGTCTCTAGGATACTTAAAAAAATACAATTTTTAAATACACTATTAAGAATTACAGAACATGGAAGATATCTGTAGTGGCAGTTCTGCATAAAATGTATGTTTCTTCATTATTAGATTCAGTTTTTGTTTGTTTGGTTGGTTGGTTGGTTGGTTTTTTAGTAGGCATCTTACTCTGTCATCCAGGCTGGAGTGCAGCGGCATGCTCTTGGCCACCACAGTCTTGGCCCATTGAGCTCAGGTGATCCTTCCTCCTCAACCTTCCAAGTAGCTGGAACTACAGGTGCATGCCACCACATCCAGCTAATTTTTTTATTTATTGTAGAGACGAGGTCTTACCAGGTTGCCCAGGCTGGTCTCAAACCCCTGGGCTCAGGCAATCCTCTAGCTTCTGCCTCCCAAAGTGCTCGGATTATAGCCATGCACCACTGCAGCCAGCTGATTCAGATTACTATTGACTATATTTTTGGCCAATGATATCACAGCACTGATGTTGTTATCTGTGTGCCTTGGCATCTGATACCAGTTTGTCCTATTACAGTTGATATTAATTTTATTCTTTGGATTAAGGTCCCTTCTTACAGATTTTTCCACTATAGAGATAACTGTTTTTCTATATTATTAATAAATACCGTGGGAATATTTAACAAAGGTCATCACATTTAATCTGGAAGGTCCCCTTTCTTCTTAGATTCTTTTTGCATATATTTGCTTTGAATAATGAAGGTTCTCAATTTTGTTTACTTGTCAGATAAGCTGAGATAAACCCAGGCTTTGCCATTTGGTGAGTGTTGGACACAGTATTCTCCTTAGGCCAGATGCATTGGTGAGCTTGTTAGAAATGCAGAAACCCAGGCCAGGTGCTGTGGCTCATGCCTGTCATCCCAGCACTTTAGGAGCTTGAGGCAGGAGGATCCTTTGCGCTCAGGAGTTCAAGGCCAGCCTAGACCTCATCTCCACAAAAATATTACAAAATTAAATGAGTGTAGTATGTGCCAGTAGTCCCAGCTAATTGGGAGACCAAAGAGTGTGACTCCTTTGAGCCCAGGAGGTCGAGGTTGCTGTGATCTGTGATTGTGCCTGTGTACTCCAGCATGGATGACAGAGTGAAACCCAACTCAGAAAAAATGTAGAAATTCAATCTTTACCCCAGATCTCCTGAATCAAAACCTGTATTTTTGTTTTGTTTTGTTTTGAGTTGGAATCTCACTCTGTCACCCAGACTGGAGTGCAGTGGCCGCTCCCGGCCACTGCAGCCTCAACCTGCTAGCTTCCGGCGATCCTTCTGCCTCAGCCTTCCGAGTAGCTGGAACTACAGGCGCACGCTACCACGCCTGGCTAATTTTTTGATTTATTGTAGAGATGAGGTCTCGTCAAGTTGCCCAGGCGGGTTTTGAACCCATGGGCTCAGGCAATTCACTCACCTCGGCCTCCCAAGCTGCAGGATTACAGGCTGAGCCACCGAGCCTGTCCAAAATCTGCATTTTAACAAGATCTTCAGTTCATTGTCGTACATATGTGATGCAAATACAGCACTCAACCTGGATCCCATACTCACTTGATAAATATGTGTTGTTTTTTCAGGGGCTGTTGACATTCAGGGATGTGGCCATAGAATTCTCTCCAGAGGAGTGGGAATGCCTGGACCCTGCTCAGCGGGTTTTGTACAGGAATGTGATGTTAGAGAACCACAGAAACCTGTTTTTTCTGGGTGAGGAGACTCTCAACATAAAATTTCTGTGCCATACTAGGGATTTTATGTCCTTCCTTTCTAGAATGTTTTCTGAGAGTTTCTTCTTTGCTTGCATGAGTTTTGGATTCCTGCTGTCAAAGAAAACTTGGTCATTTGTTGGCATAGAAAATAAAAAATAGCCGGACTTGGTGGCTCAGCCTGTAATCCCGTGCCTTTGGGAGGCTAAGGTGAGTGGATTGCCTGAGCCCGTGGGTTCGAGACCCACCTGGGCAGCAAGACCTCATCTCTACAATAAATAAAAAAATCAGCCGGGCGTGGTAGCGTGCGCTTGTAATTCCGGCTACTCGGAAGGCTGAGGTGGAAGGATTGCCGGAGCCCAGCAGGTTGAGGCTGCGGTGGCCGGGAACGGCCATTGCACTCCAGTCTGGGCGACAGAGTGAGACTCCAACTCAAAAAAAAAAAACAAAAAAAGAAAAGAAAAGAAAAAATTAAAGATGGTTCATTTTGACATGAACCTTTTCCTGTTTTGAACTGATCTGTGTCTTTCACTCTATATTAGGGGTAACTCCAGAGACTGTGGGGCATAAGATATAATTCTCTACCCCTAAAATCCAATTGCTGCCATCAATCTTTGACTCACTACTACTGAGCTAAGGACCCACAAATTTATAATTCTTTCTAAATGTTCTAAAGGTTCTGTTGAAAAACAATATTTTGGGGATTAATTTTCTAGAATCTTGTATACTGTGTTCTCTACTAAGCGCAGTACTAGATTGGTCATTAGAGAATCCCAGTAAGAGTCATGTTACTTTTTTCTAATAAAACAGGCCTTGCTGTCTCTAAGCCAGACCTGATCACGTGCCTGGAGCAAAGGAAAGAGCCTTGGAATGTGAAGAGACACATCACATTAGTCAAACCTCCAGGTAGGTGGGAGGAATGTAGCAGATGACACAGGTCGAGGGAGCAGAGCTTGAAGTGTTGTTTGGGAAAGTGGATTGCTACAATGGAAATGGTTTCTTTTTTTTTTGAGTTGGAGTCTCACTCTGTCACCCAGACTGTAGTGCAGTGGCCACT